GCTGCTTTGGTCCCTGGTTGGTGCCCTGAGAATATTACCATCAGAGCTCTTTCTGAGAGGTCAGGGGTGTGCTGTCTTCCTGATGAGCTGGTTTGAGTTTGTGTTTGCTTTTTCTTGTTTGTTTAAAGAGGACCCACTCAGGATGCAGCTGTCACCGCACCTACACAGTCACCGACACCTTCTCTGCTGCTCTGTGGGATGGTTACTAAAACCAGGTTTGAGCAGTTCCTCTAAAGTGCTAATGTAGCTGTTAATTGTCATTACTAATGTGTCTTCATGCACCTCCTCACTCTGCCCAGGGGAGGGAGTCAGGCTGGGAGGCTCATCTGTAAATACTAGTTCACGGGTACATTTACACAACTACCCCTTTGCTCTTTTCAAAGATAAAAATAGATACCAAATGACTCGGGCTTTAGGAGACAGAACCACAAACCACTGTCAAGTCTTATATTCTAAGCATGCACTAAGTTTTAAAATAACCATCGGACTATAAATCTGTGCTTTAAATAGTAGCAGTCATACAAGGCTAACTGACCTGAATTTTGTATAAGAATCAAAATGTATCTCTTATTATGAAAGTTTGTGAATTTCAAGGTAATATGCATTGTACCTTTAATCAGTTAAACCAGGTAGCAAGGAGACCTTGTTGATAACAAACCTCCACTCTCCCTCTCCCCCAAAATACAAGGGACCAAAACCTTAACAGCAGGCTGGGTCTGGGTCTGGGTCTGTGCTCAGGGCCCAGGGTCAGCTGTGGGCCGTTCGTTCAGTGTGAGTCAGAATCTCCAGAAGTGATTTGTTTTTAAAGCCCTGGTAAGAAAACATAGCAAATCCCTTTCCTTCTAAAACTTATTTTGAAAAGGACGCATGCTCTTTTTATTCTAGTGTTCAGAATTCTTTTCCTGGCAGTGTTGAAAGAATAGGGAGTCGGTTTGGTTCTTGTACCCTTGCCCCAGAAACTCACTGTGGAAGAGAATGACTGCCTCATGGAGACTGCATTGCCACTTTCCAAGAGTGCACCAAAAGTCTCCAACCCCATTATGCAGTGGGTACCTTTTGCCTTCCTTTCCTTTCAGGAGAAACTTGAAGCATCCAGAGGCTAAAGTGATTTCTGGATTCCATAGACCAAAAAAAAAAAAAAAAAATCTGAAATAGAATCCAAGATTTCTGGGTCACATTAATGAACAGACCTGGTTTATTCCCAGCCTCTCACTCTGGTGTTTTGTAATGATTTGCCTGTAATGAGCTATGAGCTACTTACACGTAGTCACCTCCAGAGAAAGGCAGCATCAAGGTGGGCGCCCTCGCCCGGCAGCAGGCGAGCTCATCCCCGCAGCGGAGAGCGCTGGCTCTTGAGATGTCAGAAGAGGGAGCACGCGGCCCCAGGCTGTGCTCCTCGCTGCCACAGAGGAGCAGGTCTGCGATTCATTTTTCTGCGTGTCTTAGAAGCAGTTGCTTGATGCACTAAAGACTGTGAAACAATCCACGTGGAGAAGGGGCTCGTTTCCTAAACTTGCTTACAGTTCCCGTTATGACAGCTTCAAGCATAGAAAGCACCGGCCTCAGCAGGACCTGGGCAGGAAGCCGTGTCAGGTAAGGAGAGTAGTGCCTCATGCCTCATGCTTGCCCTTTTCTGGGTTTCCTGCTTTTGCTCTGTTCCAGGCACTTTCTGAGCCCAGTTTCCCTGCACACACAACCACAGCTCCCTCGCCCCACGAAAAAGGTGAGGGGTGGGTGGGGGCCTCGGATGATGAAGGCTCTTGGATGGCAGTATCTCAAACTACTAACCAAGTTGCCTCAGCCATGCCAGCCACAGCCCACCGTCTTCAACCATTAGGGTGTGGGCTTGCTGTGTCCACGCTTCTCCAAGATGGGGAAGAGTATGGCGGTCCTGGCACCACCCCCATTGCACACAGGGCACCATGGGCACCGCATCTCCTTTGGTCTGACCTCCGTCTCATTCAGATGGTCTGTTGTTTCTCCTTTCCCATGAGATTCTGTGTTTCCTATCTCCCAGGTGCCACCTGGAGGGTCTTGTGTGAACCGCCTGTCACAGTCTCACACTTTGACCCATTGTGGGTGCAGTCCCTGTTCTTAAAAGGAGAAATCCTTCAATCCCTGTTCTGACCCCGCGGTAGACAGGCGAGCAGCCCGGACACCACGGTACCTGAGACACAGCGTGTCATGCACCCCCCCTGGAAGCAGTGTCCTCCAGCCAGTCACTTCCTCGGGTGGGTGAGCCCCAGGGCCCTTCAGGTCCGAGTCCTGCTGCCCTCAAGGACCTGTGCTTGGCCGCAGGAGGCTCCGACGTCCTGGAGTTATCCTGTAAGATTCCTTTGTTTTAAATCCTG